CTTAATTCTGATTGTGAGTTGGTGAAGTATGAATGGGATACCAAGAGATGAAAATTGACATTTTAGGAATTCTTGTGAACAAGATTTTGAAAAATCCTTCCAAGATTGAGAACAAATACATTGTATGATTCTGTAAGTCCTCTGGCCTTTTATGCTGACACTAATTTCATTGTTCTGGCTGTGTCCACATTGCCCTGAATCTTCCTGTGCTTGAAGTGATTGTTCTTTAAAACCGTAGGAAAGGGGAACTGGAAAACACCATTCAGCCCCTTGAGCCTGCTCCGCCATTCAACAGGATCATGGCTGATCTGATATTCCTCACGTCCACTTTCCTGCCCTTCCCCTAGAGCCCCAGATCCCCTACAGATGAAGAATCTGTCTGCCTTTGCCTTAAATATACATAAGGAGAATGGAATCTTTGGAGATGTTGTTTATCTCCTCGGTGCCCTCAAGTGACATTTATATAAAGGGAGTCTAATTATTTGATGTATGTGTTAAGTTCAACGCAATATATTTACTATACTTTGCTCTGGACCAACGATGTTTAGAAGTGTTTCTCAAACTGAATCTATGTCCGACGCCTGGCTTCTAACATATAAATAGAATTCTTCCCCTTGAGCTGACTCAGGTTCTTTGTTACATCAATCATCTTCCTTCCATCAGAATGTCAGAAGTAGCAATGTCTACTGATGTTCGCACAATGTTCGACATTATTTGTAACTTGTCAGTACAGAAACCACTAACATCCATGTGGAGAAAGAACTGGGCAACATCCAGACTTGGGCTAATAAGTGGCAAGTAGCGTTCACACCACACGAGTGTCAGGCAATGCCCATCTCTGACAAGAGAATGACTGCCCCTTCATTCGCAATGTCATTATCACTGCTGAACTCCCCGTTATCAACATTCTGGTGCATTGCCCATTGACTCAAAATAAATATCATTTGTGACACAGAACCACTGGTAGTACCCCACACATCTGAGGGATCAATACTTGTCAAGCACCATTGCACCAAACGAAAGGTCTATTTTCAAAGTTCATTTGTTCTGCTTTATTGAATGCAAACAGGATGTTTGCAGAAAAGGCCTTGAGAGACTAGAAAAAGAGGGGCAATTTAAAAGTCAAGACTCTCCTATTCAAGATAGATAAGAAATCTTCTCAAAGGCTCCCGAGTAGCCATTTGGTGGAGGTGGGATCATTGAATTGACTACTTTGAAAGCAGACTTAGATCCTTGACCGACAAGGGAATTAAAGAGTCTTGAGGGTAGGCAGGAAAGTGGACTTGAGGCCACAACCAGATCAGTCCTATCAGGGGGTGCAACAGGCTCAAGGGGCTGAATGGCCTGTTCCCTTTTGTAATTGCCTGTTTGTATGATCACTGAAATCTTAGGATGAACTTATTTGAATTGTTGCAAATTGCTGTGTGCATAACCTGACTTCTAAAGGAATTATGTGAATGTGAATTACTTGTTAGCTGTAGAAATACTCTTCATTACATAGATTAAATAATATTTCAGCCAGATGTTGATTTAAAGCAAACAATATAGTTAGGGCATTAATCGTTACACAATGGGAAGACATGCATTCGAAGTTGTTTTATTGTGTCTGTGTTATGTTTATAGACCCAACATTAAACAGATTGGAAATGTACCACTTTTCGATTCCAACATTATCCTGTAATATGTAAATTTATTAACAGGAGCAGGTTTTATTTGACAATGTAATTTCTTAAAATTGTTCTGATATCTTTTAAGAATATATTTTTGCAAAAATGAGCAATAACTACAATTGCGTAACCCTTCTAAAATAGAAGACTTCCCAATACAATGGTCTAATTACAAATTGGACATTCACTGCTAGACTGCTCAGTCTGCCAGGCAGAGTTACCATTGTGCTGTTCTGTTAGATATTCTGTGCAGTGTTCTTCCTCTGTCCCAAAATATTTTTATCTGTAAAGGGCAAAAAGATATGGTGGTGATATCACTGAGCTGGCTTTCAAGTTCCCAGCAAAACAAAATGTTTCCATCCGTTATGCATGCTCATCCCTCTGTGATCTGAAACTTAGAGTCTTGTGCTTATTGTGGCCAGTGTGGGCACTAGTGTAGCAAGAATTCAATCTGTCATCTTATATTACCGTATTGGGCAGCAGGTAGGTTGCCCATTTTGTAAGTTGAGATAGAGCAAGGGGTCAAATTCATCCCAGCATCTAATGCTTAGTTTTACTGCTATGAATGAGTACATACCAATGATGGTAGACACCCTCCCCTCTTCATTCCACAGTTAACTCCTGGATACATTTCCAATGCGTCTGGATTTCTGACAGCAACAATCAGCAGTTTTTAAGAACAATATCATTCTCTGCAATTCATTCCTGTTAACAGTTTACCCTCCCATCTTCTGACAGTGGTTTAAACAAAAAGCAGAGTATCTCCTGCCCCCTGCCCCTGCACTCGTCACAGGTTGCCAGTTGTGTGATGTCACTGAAACAGGAAGTTCACACCCAATCTGAGAGTGGTGCCACTTACGTAATTGTTGTGCTGTTAGCACGAGCCACTGCCCACTCCAAGCTTCACTCACTGCCTGTGTGCCCTGCTCTGCCACTGTAAAATCCAGGAACAGAATTGAGCCATTTGGTCCATCGAGTGAGCTCCAACACTTGGCTCAAAGCCCCTCCTCCCTGCTATGAGCTCCCTATGCTACACTCTGGCACAGTTTATTATTTATGCACTTGTTAAAATAGTTTTGAATTGTGCAGCATTGTGGGTGGTCACCTTATTTCAGGAAGGATGTAAATGTGTTGGAGGCAGTTCAAAGAAGGGCTGCTGGACTAATAGCTGGAATGAGAAGGTTGTCTTGAGGAAATGTGGGTCACGGCTGGGCTTGTATCAGCTGGAGTTTCGAAGAATAACACATAGCTTTATTGAAACAGATAAAATCCTGAGGGATTTTAATAGGCTATATGTGAAGAGGATGTCCCCTCTCGAGAGGGGAATGTCAGGAGAATCTCGAACTAGGGGTGACTGTTATAAAAACAAGGGATTGCATTTTATTTTTCTCTGAATATTTAGGGGCTTTGGAATTATCTTCCTAAAAACGGTGGCAGCAGAATGGTTGAATATTTTTAAGGTAGCAGTAGATAGTTTCTCATTAAGCAAAAGGCTGAAAGATTATCAGGGATAGGCGGGAATGAGGATTTGGGTTTGCGATCAGATCAGCCGTGATCTTGTTGACCTGCAAAACAGGCTTGTGCAGCTGAATGATCTACCTTCCCTTATTCATATGTTCACCTACCCTCATCTTTTCTGGAAGCTGTGTCTCCAGCTGGGGCATCAGAGGCACTGTGACTGCATGGACAGTGAGTTGGTCCCCTCCAGGTGCAGTGGCAGCAAGCACACACACGGAAAAAGGGAGCGATCCATTGTACATTAACACCCCGGAGCCTGTGATTTCAGAACAGTGCTAGCATTTGTCACTGAAGATTTTCCTTTCTTCCCTTTCACAACAGGTGTATTTGTGCCACCACTGCAAAGAAGAATGGTTGGGAAGGTTGGTGGTGAAGGAAATACTCGCAGTGGCGAAAAATTTCTCTGAAAAATGATGACAGTTTGTTTTAAAGCTAGACTTGTGCATATTCCTGAACACTGCTTCATTATGCTTTTGACAGTTTTTATAACAGGAAATGGGAATGCAACAGTACACTGGGAGGATCAACACTAAATTAGAGATTTATGCAAATGTCATAGATTTACCTGTTGTAATTCATGTGAGGCCAGTGCATTTAAATATTGTTGCTGAATTAAGGCACCAGGTCTCAATTTAACATTAACGTTCTCGTAGGGTGTGGGATTTCAAAGTCTGGTTTACCTAGTTGGGAGATTGGCACATTAGTTGTCAGAAAATGAAATGCTTTGCCAAAGAAGGAACCAGAAACACGACCAAAAGCTTTGTCAAAGAGCTGGTTTATATGGTAGACTTTTCTAGGATTACTGGGTGGCTTTGGTGAAGAGTGGGGGGCCTGATAGTGTATGGTACATTCCCTCCAATAGATCTGGTGATAGAGCCTTGTGTATCAGATGCACTAAGCTTCAAGTCCTTTAGACTTGAAGGAGGAAAGATATATGGAGGAACAACAGGGGGTGACAGCAGGAATATTTTACTGCTGAGAAAGGCACCAAAGATGGAGATTAATTGAAACACTAAATGAAACATCCGCTCTGGAGTGATGACACTTTTGTATGAATTGTTAAGTTTGCAGAAAAAAATAGACAAGCTCAAATTCACAAGATTCAATATAAGATGGGTTCTGAATTTGGGTGCCCTGTCCAATGTTAATACCTCAGTCAACATCACCAAAGCTGATTACTGGTCATTAAGGAATTGCTGGTTTTGAGACTTTGCTGCGTGTAAATTCACTGCAATCTTTCCGACATTACAATTGGGCTGATGTCTCACAAGCATTTCATTGGTTTTGCATTTTGGAACTTGCAGAGGTCATGATGCTGTGTCACCATGCAGGCCTTTTGTTTGGATACCCTAGGATTGTGACAGCTTTTATAATGGGCCTAAAGAATGTTGTCACACAACAGTCATGCAGGAAAACAAACTGCTAAGTAAATAAAAACACGAAATACTATGAGCGTTTAGCAGGTCGTGCACCGTCTGAGAGAATGCTAGATACGGTTAGCATTTTAGGTCTGTAACCTTTTTGTTGAAACCCAGCGTTATATTTCATGTAATTTGCTGCTGTGGTGAGTTCATCACAAGAATTGTAAGAAATAATGTTCATGCTCTGCATCTGGCTCTAAAGATGTGAAAGATAAAATTATTCCATCACAAATGAGAATATAGAACAGGCTTCAACAAATTAGACATTTTCCAGAAGGCTTGCTTTCATTATTTGGAATGATGTGTATTCTTTTATCAGAGCTGGTTTAACACATTAAAATAAACAGAATGATTTAAAAATTACAGTAATTTTGCATTCTTTGTTTTGTACCAGGTCAATGATACCACATTACCTACTCATCAGCAAGACAATAAGAATCCACCATTCCCAACTTACTTCGCTGATGGCGATGAAGAACTTCCAGAAGATCTGTTTGATGACGCAGTATTCCAATTCACTGAGCCCTCTATTGTCATCTCCTAAACTTTGAAACTTTTGATGTGTTCTGTGATCTCCATATATCCTGCCTTAAATTTGTTCCATTTGGGAGACCATTTTTCTATGTATTGACCTATGGCACTGATCTGATGGGTGAGGTGTAAGGGGGAGAGAAAGTCTCAAGTCACAGTGAAAGCTTGACCACCAAATGAATAATTTTGAGAAGAATGTTTGGAGGCTCTTGGTAGCCCAAAGCTCTGACTGTGATCAGAGCTAATTTGATAACTGAGAATATTCCATAATTTTCAGCAGCATGAGTCTGTCAGAGCGGCCTGGACAATTTCCTGAAAGAGAAACAAAAAAATTCTGCTGCAAAATTGTGAAGGTTTTATTCTTTTATGGACTGCAGAATTTGCAGCTCTACCCAAATTGTTAAAAAGGATATGCTTCCACAGGTTATGTGAAATATAGATATTAGAGCGAAGAGGTCTCTGGCAGAAAATATATGCATGAATTAAAATATTTGTGGAAAATAATAACCACCTAAGTGTTTTGCACTGGGTAGTTTAAAGTCTGATAAAACTGTTGCAGTAGAATGGGGATTTGCTGTTTACTGTTCTGTGTGGAACAATGAGACACCAGAGAAATATCTGGTTTAAACCTGTTTTTTATTGAGTTAACTCATCTCTAGAAGGCAATGTTACTGGAATTACAATTGGCTTCAGCCGCACTAAGCAATATTCAAACCCACAGCAACATAACATCAAAAGCTACAAAAACAGAAATTGCTGGAAAAGCTCAGCAGGTCTGGCAGCATTTGTGGAGAGAAATCAGAGTTAACATTTCAGGTTGAGTGACTCTTCTTCAGAACTTGAACTGAAACGTTAACTCTGATTTCTCTCCACGGATGCTGCCAGACCTGCTGAGCTTTTCCAGTAATTTGTTTTTGTTTCAGATTTACAGCACCTGCCGTTCTTTTGGTTTTTGTTTAGCATCAAAAGCTGTTGTTTCTATCATTAAACAGCGTATTAATTCTGTGAAAACACTGAGCACATTTGTTTGATTGCTGCTGACAAGCCATGGACAAGTAAAACACCAGTCTTAAACATGACACAACGCGATGGTTTTCTGTGGTAATCACCAGATGACTTTTTACTGTAACAGTGCAGCGTGCACTTTGAACAAGGAAATATCAGAAGAAGGTGTAGTTTCTATTTGAATTCTGTACTGCATTACAACACAAACTGTTTGACCCTCTCTGCTTGGGTTTAGATTTTGTAATCATTTTACATTTACTTTTGTCACAAATGGTTTGTCCTGTGCCACATGCACTTAATTTAAACTTATATAAAAAAGTATTGACAACTGCCAGAGACTCTTCAGGCACTGATTAAAGAATGGATAGATTTTCTTGCTGTCCTTCATATTTTGAGGGCAGAATTTTGATTAGCTGCCTTGTAGCAATTCTGATTTATTTTAAGCCTTGTGCTGTAGGATCTGATATTTTATTAATTCTGCATCTGGGCTGTTTTTCAGTCTAGCACAGGACAGGTTACATAAACTGAATCCTGTACTTTGAGTGTGGAATAGAATATCCTGACTTTCCTCGTCATAAGACCAGTGAAACTGATGGTGTTTGCTATCATTGTTCCTCTGAAAAAGACAGCTTCTTGAGTCAAGAAGTACTTGTCATTGCTCATTGTTATCCACACAGGCAGCAGTCAATTAGAATTCAGTGCACTGAAGAGAACTTCCTCTTCTATGCTGCAGTATTGCTGTGTGTAAAACATCCCAAACTTGCCTTGTTCATGAGGTACTGCTGTGTTTTGTAACGATGTGTAAAACTGTATCTACTGCTGAGCAACCACTCTGCCCCTTATGAACTAATCTTATATTTGTACAAAACCAAAGTATCGGCGAGCCAGTGTCATTATCGGTGCTATCTTTGGATTTTAATCCAGAAACCCAGATTAATGCTGTGGAACATTGGTTCAAATTCACCATGACAGCCAGTGGAATTCAAATTCATGTGATAAAACTGGAACATAAAGCTGTTCTCAGTAATGGTGCTATGAAACTGCCATCTATTGCTATAAAAGCACCTCTGATTTAATGATGTCTTTTAGGAAAAGAAATCTTCCATCCTTGCCTGGTCTATGAGATTCCAGATCTGCAGTATTATTGTTGATTCAATAAATTATGTATGCATTTCAATTTTTTTTTAAATTAGTGAACCTAAATACCCTGAAATAATCCATGGATTTTGGTGTCTCCAAATGTGTATAATAAACCCATGGATGGCTGGTCATCATCTACCTTTTGTAAATTTGAATTCATTCAAAATTTTGCTGCCTGTTTTCTGACCAACACCAAACTCTGCTTATCTGTTACCCCAGTGCTTGAAAACCTGTGGTTTTTTACCTGGTCTGTTGTGTTTAGCATTTTAGACTCTCACCAATGTAGTTGACTCATTACTGCCCTCTTGTGTATTGTAGATGACTAACATTTAATTGATCTTTCTCCAATGAGGCAAGGACCAGTAAACCATCATCTCCGAGTTCCAGTGGCACACCCCGTGACTGCTGCTGCACTCCATCTCCATCCGATCTCAAAAGATGTATTGCAGCATCTCCCTGAGGTCACCTGAACAACACCTCCCTTGCCCATAATCTCTACCAGTAAGAAGGATCAGTACAGAAACATTGTCCCTATTCCAGATCACACCATCCTGATTTGGACACACGTCACTCTTTAATCATCTTGTAATCCTGAATTATTTTGTAAGGTTTCATTATGGAAGCTGTTGTCATTTAAAGGACTGTAGCAAGCTAAGGAGAAGACTAAACAGCCCCTCTACAGTAACGTAGGAATGTGCAACTAATGTAATTTTGACAGAATCAGTCACAACTTAAGAATTTAAAAATAAATTGCACGAGTATTCGATTACCACAGAATTGCACAGTCTGAAGAATATCGAGACCAAAGTTGATTTGTAAAGTATTGGAATTGTCTATGTACCTAAAAAGTAATGCTAAATTAAGACGACAGGGAACAAAGCGTGACACGTTTGAAGTCTTAATTAGCATAGTGTTCCCTTCAATTCTTCTGCTGCATTCCTATGGCCTCCAGGTGTGGGGGAAGCAGATTTAATTAGCTTCAAAACAAGAAGTTACTAAATATTTGAAAGGGGAAATGACAGGGCTATGGAGAAAGAGCATGGCAATTGTGAGTAATTGAATATCTCTCCCATTAATTTGGCTCAGGCACAATGGGCTGAATGCCCTCCTTCAGTGCTTTATCATTCTGACTGTCATGCTCTAAAAGCACCAGGAACCAACTTCCCTTAAAATCCATATTCCAGCCTTGCCTTACAATTCTGTATGGGAATGGTGCCAAACCATTTAATTCAAATACAAATAACGCCTGGAATCTTATCAAATCTTCTTTTGATTAGTCAATTTAAAAAAAAAATAACTTAAATGGTTATTTATTAAAAACAAAACTAGTTTTCTACAAGTATTGCTTAAATCATCAAATCTGCCTGAAGCATTCAATAAGTACTAGTTTGGCTATAAGTTTTGAGAAAAGCTATTGCTTCGGTTATAAGTTAGCATAGCAGTCAAGCAATTGTCTCCCATCACAAAAATACAAAGTATTGTGATTTGCAAACCTGAAATGCAGACAAAAAATGCTGGAAATGCACTGTTTTTCTCTCCTCAGAGTTTCAGGCCAAATATTTACTCCGGCTTTCCACAAATGCTGGCTGTCTTGCTGAGGATTTAAAGCATCTTATGATTTATACATTTTTTTCTTTATATTTTCATGGCATGTCATTGTTGCAGTAAGACCATCCTTTGCTCATCCTGAATTGCCCTTGAACTGAGTGGCTTGTTCAGCCATTTCAGAGGGCAGTTAAGAGTCAGTCACATTGCTGAGAGTCTGGAGTCACGTAGACTGGACAAATACGGACTGCCTTCCCTAAAGGACCTTAGTGAAACAATTATAGTAATTATCTTCTGTTACTTGAGCAAGTGAACATGAAGTAAAATATGTTGTGCTGTCACCTTCTGCTTGCTGTATTGTTTAATAAATATGTTTTTATAGTAAAGAGTAGGGATAAATAGGTGTTTTCTGGTTGGCGGTCAGTGACTAGTGGTGTGCCTCAGGGATCAGTGTTGGAACTGCAATTGTTTACAATTTACATAGATGATTTGGAGTTGGGCACCATGTGTAGTGTGTTAAAGTTTGCAGATGATGCTAAAATGAGTGGTAGAGCAAAGCGTGCATAAGACACTGAAAGCCTGCAAAAGGATATAAATAGGTTAAGTGAGTGGGCAAGAGTCTGGCAGACGGAATGCAATGTTGGTAAATGTAAGGTCATCCATTTTGGTAGGAATAACAGCAAAATGTACTATTACTTATTTGGTGAAAAATTGTAGCACACTGCTACGCAGAGGGACCTGGGTGTCCTTGTGCATGCATCACAGAAGATTGGTTTACAGGTACAACAGGTAATTAAGAAGGCAAATGGAATATTGTCCTTCATTGCTAGAGGGATTGAGTTTAAAAGCAGGGAGGTTATGTGCAGTTCTATAGGGTGCTGGTGAGGCCATACCTGGAGTACTGTGTACAGTTTTGTTCTCCTTACTTGTGAACGGATGTACTGGCACTGGAGGGGGTGCAGAGGAGCTTCACTAGGTTGATTCCAGAGTTAAGAGGGTTGGCTTATGAGGAGAGATTGAGTAGACTAGGACTATACTCATTTGAATTTAGAAGAATGTGGAGCAATCTTATAGAAACATATAAAATTATAAAGGGAATAGGTAAGATAGAAGCAGGGATGTTGTTTCCACTGCAGGTGAAACTAGAACTAGGGGGCATTTCCTCAATAATGGGGAACAGAGTAAGGACTGAGTTGAGGAGGAACATCTTCTCTCAGAGGGTTGTGAAAATGTAGAATTCCATGTCCAGTGAAGCAGTTGAGGCTAACTTGTTGAATTTTTTAAGTTGAAAATAGCTTTTTGAACAGTAAGAGTTAAGCGTTATGGTGAGCGAGCAGGTAAGTAGAGTTGAGTCCATGAAAAGATCAGCCACAATCTTATTGAATGGCAGAGCAGGTTCAATGGGCCAGATGGCCTACTCCTGCTCCTATTTCTCGTGTTCTCATGCCACTCTTGTTATGGACCAGACCAGACCTCCTCAAAAATTTTTTAAGTAGCCTAGACCCTAGCCTTTTCTTAATTTAAAGGTAAATGTGAAGTGCTGTGTTCCAGATGCAATGCGACAGGTTAAACTACTTGATGTTAACAAAAGGTTTATTTAAACACTATAGTTAAAATGCGCACAAAAGGACAAATAACTTAACTCTTTAAGAAAATTTAACCAAATGATAGATACAGTACCTATTATTAATTAACTGTTCCAATATAGTAACTTCTCATAAACATGCCCCTTGGCAAAAAAGCAAATTCAGAAATAGATTCTCACATGGTCTGGTCTGTAACACTTGTGTTCAGCAACCAGTGCCATTAACAAAATTTTGGTGTTATGATCTCTCGCTTTCCAAAGACTGGGAGGAGGATGAAATGAAACAGAATAAGTTGTGAGCATCGCTCCTAAAAAGATGAAGGGAAGGTTTGTAGAAAGCTATTGCAACAATTTATTTTGCTTTATTCTTTCCTGGGCTATAGGTGTCACCAGCAAGTCCAGCCTTTCTTGGCCATAACTCATTGCCTTTGAAATATGTGGGCTTAGCCATTTCAGAGAGAAGTTCACATCATTTGGAGTCACAGATAGACCCTGTCTGTTTAAGGATGGTTGACTTCCATTGCCAGAGGACTTTAGAGAATGAGATGGGGTTTTCGTTCTAACGGTCTCCATTACTGAGAATTATCAATTGCATTTAAATTCTCCCAGCTGCAGTTGTGGAATTTGAACTTATCTCCTTAAAGCATTAACCTGGGCATCTGGAATACTGCTGATATCACCATTGTGCCACCAGTCCTGTTATCTTTACTACCTTATTTGACTTATTTCTTAGTTAAATGTCTTCAACAATCCATATGAGTTATTGAAAATGGGTCTCTGTTGCACTGATGTGTATCTTCAACA